GCTGCGACGGCACCGATACTCCAACGCGGCGACGGCAGCGACGATTCGACAACAGCGCTGGACGTTCAGCCAACATTGTGCCCCAGCAGCATCGAAGCACGCGAGCCCCTTGCGGAGATCGCGCCCGATGCACAGTTGGTGCGTACCGAAGCTCCTACGTGTGCATGCGCGCCGCCGTACCCAGCGACTCAGGCACGGCGACCTTGCAACTGGATCAAGCCGCGCTTTCACAAGAGTGCTCACTATCTTTACCTCTAGAAGCACCAACGAGAGACGACAAGTCGCAGCCCCGCCACTCGCCCCGACAACAACACTCGTGACGTCCAAGCACCTCAAGCACCGCTCTATTTGGGGGCTGCGCTGCTGAGCCACTCTCGACATCTTCAACAAGCGGCGACCGCGGCCAAGTCGCGCAAGATCGACAACCAGCAGTCGCGGCGAGACCCCCCGTCTCTCCCGACCAACGGCTTCTCCAAGATGCAAGGCAGATCACACGCCATCGGCACCCAGGCATGGCTTTCAAGCGAGCGGCGCGACCAAGATCGCTCCGAGACGACATACCGCCAACGGACGCCGACCAGATAACGCTTGGCATCGGCACCGACGCAGACGAGCCGCGTTTGCACCGACCAGCCAACACCAAGGCTCGTTGGCGCGACTCTGATAACTGTAGCGAGCAAGATGCACCATGTTTTCAACTCGTCGCCTCACTACGATCGACCACGCCCGACCGTCGGTCTCGAGCAACACCGGGAGCACGGTTCGTGGGCGCATGGTCGTGGGTGCATGGTCGGCGGCGCAAGGTCATGGGCGCGGGCCGACGGCGCATGGTCATGAGCGCGGGTCGGCGGCGCATGGTCGCAAGCGCGGTTCGTGGGCGCAAGGTCGTGGGCGCGGGACGGCGGCGCGGGCCGACGGCGTATGGTCGGGACCGCGGGTTGGTAGCGCATGGTCATGAGCGCGGGTCGGCTGCGCGGGTCGGAGGTGCGGGTCGGCGGCACGGGTCACGTTCACATCAACGTCTGGGTGAATGAACCTGTGACAGACCCCATCCGGTCACGCTTGTTAGCTTGCCAATCGTCTCTCGCATGCATTGCTTTCAAGCGACATGATTGGTCTTCTCTGTTTGTACTTGATGTTTGTATGTTGTGTCATCATACAAACGTCAATGTGGGCGTGTGCTGGCATTCTGGCAGCCATTTTTTGCAGTTCGGCAAGCGTCTCGAGGAGCATGTGAAAGAACGCGCTAAGCTTGGCATTGGTGATGCAGTGTTGATAAGCGCAAAGCTGGGTGACGCTTCAGGACGACTCTCGCTGATTGGTGAGTGACGTTCGATTTCGCGGCGACCGTCACCATCGACCTCGACTGTTCAGCCATGGCTCGGAACGACTTGTG